TGGGTTCACAGTTTCAGAGCAAGCATTTTACAGCTACAAAGCAAAAATTTAAATATTATGTTCCAGCATTTGATAAAGATTTTATAGGTGAGATTGTAAGTATTTAAGATTGCTGCAGTATCACACAGGTGAAACAGACTATTTCCAGCAATGAATTTGTCAAAGCTAATGCCTTGGCAAGAAGTGGCACCTGGTCTGCCATCATGTGCAATGTTGGTATTTCCTGGTTTTCCAGCTGGGCACCCTAGGGAAGCCAGGGGATGGGGGGGGCGGAGGGAGTGGCTGGGAGGCAGGGCCCGATCGGCACAGAGAGCCTGTGGTTGCGTGAGACGCCTTGGGAGGGGAAGAGGAAGCCCTGTACGTGCTCCTGAGCACTGTTCCAGCGCATTGTGGAGCTGTACCTGGACTCACTAGTGCTTCACCGGGACTGTGTGGGACAGGCAGTGCCCTGGGATCTGCACATGCCCGGGTCAGTCCCGCTCCCCGCTGGCCGATTTGCCCCCACTTCTCCTGATCTCCCCAGGCCAGCCCCACTGCACCCTCCACACCCCCCCTCCCGCCAGCCCTGGTTCTGACCGGCCGGTTCCCCTGCCCAATCTCCCCCGGCCAGCCCCGCTGCCCCCCCAACTCCCTCAGCCAGCGCCACTGCCCCCGACACCCCCGCTTCCCGCTGTCCAGTTCCCCCACCCAATCTGCCCTCGCCAGTCCCACTGTCCCGACACCCCCCCTCCAGCCTTGCTTCCCATCAGCCGCCCTCATCCTCTCCCCTCCTCCCAGCCAAGCCCGCCCATCTCCCGGCCAGTCCCCCGGCCCGTTTTTTTTTTAAACTCACCTGGTAGCCCTACCACCACCACCACCACCACTAGTAACTCACCTTAAGTGGTAAGGTCTGTGCTGTGGATCTAAAGGTCCAAACAATTGCAAAGTCTCTAGCATGTCAAAGTTAGAAAATGCCAGAATGAAGGCTGCCCATGCAACATGTATTCAACCTCCTTATGTGTTCAGGATTTAATTACATAATCACATACAATTTTTCCATCAAGCCTCTGCTTCATTCCATTCACAGAATGGACCTGACCTGTGGATGAATTGGGGCTGTGTAGTGAAGGAACCTGTGGTAATAACTCTGTCTCATTTGTTGCACATATTGGGAGGTGTGTACTTAATGAGAAAGGGGACTGAAGGGAGACCATGGTTAAGGCTGTTGAAGACCATGCTTTGTAAATATAATGTGCTATTAAAAATGATGTACAGGCAGTCCCCGGGTTACATACAAGATAGGGACTGTAGGTTTGTTCTTAAGTTGAATCTGTATGTAAGGCGGAACTGGCGTCCAGATTCAGCCGCTGCTGAAACTGATCAGTTTCAACAGCAGCTGAATCTGGATGCCAGTTCTGACTTACATACAGATTCAACTTAAGACCCCCAGGCATCCCCAAGTCAGCTGCTGCTGAAACTGATCAGCAGCTGATTCCAGGAAGCCCAGGGCAGGGGCTTCCTGTAGTCAGCCACTGGTCAGTTTCAGCAGCGGCTGACTTGGGGACGCCTGGGGCAGAGCAGCTGGGGTGCTGCCAGGTTGGTCCAGTAGCGCCCAGAGCGGCGCTACAGGACCAACCAGCAGCGCCCCAGCTGCTGTACCACAGGCGTCTGGAGCAAAGCCGCGGAGCACGGGGGCAGCGGGACAGCCCAGACGTGCCGTGGCTGTCCTGCTGCCCTCGGACTCCGCGGCTTTGCTCTGCTTTGCTCCCCGTCCTTCTGGTCTGCAGACCAGGGGGACGGGGAGCAAAGCAGAGCAAAGCGGCGGAGCACGTGGGCAGCAGACAGCCCAGACGCATCTGGGCTGTCCGCTGCCCGCGTGTTCCACCGCTTTGCTCTGCTTTGCTCCCCGTCCTTCTGGTCTGCAGACCAGGGGGACGGGGAGCAAAGCAGAGCAAAGCGGCGGAGCACGTGGGCAGCAGACAGCCCAGACGCATCTGGGCTGTCCGCTGCCCGCCTGCTCCGCCGCTTTGCTTCCTCTCCCTGGTCTGCTGGAGACCAGGGAGAGGGCCCCGTTCGTAACTGCAGATCCGACGTAAGTTGAATCCGCGTAACTCGGGGACTGCCTGTACCTTCTCAAAAATCAGGCCATACACCTGTCATGTGGGGCACTTAACTATAGTAGACACGTCAGAGAATGTGGCTTTAATCTCTCTGTCTTAGATCCCCATCTACGAAATGGGGATAGCACCATCCTTCCCCTTGCAAAGGGGTTGGGAAGATATACTCAATGTTTGTGAAGCAATACCAGTGCTGAGAATCTTAAAAAATTTCATGAAGAAATTAATAATTCTGTATTCAGTTCAGGGTTTAGATTATAAACAATAAATAAAGCATGGGGACTGACAAGGAAAGTTGAAGATAAAAATCAATATTTAATGGGAGCTTGCTGAAAGGGTGGCTATTTCATTTCTTTATTTAGATTTGTACTCATGTTAAAAAATGTGCCTATTCATATTCTCTAGGTGCCCCAGACATTATTGAATTTTCTAAGTGCAGCAGCACAACCTAAAATTCCAAGTCTCTGTCTGAATTCATACCCTCCCTATTCCTCCCCACTGGACCATTAAAATGCTTGGGTGGTGGAGGAGTTTTGCAGCATGCCCTGAAGGTCATCAGATTATGGGCTATTTCAGACCAAGGTGGTTAGCAAATTTCAGTATCAGAGGGATGTCTCAGAAAGAATGCCCAGAGAGTACCCATTCTCTCATTATATCCAGGCAGCTTCAACTCCAATCTCAGCACTACTAGCTTGGCATAGAGAGGTGGTCCTTTTGACTTACTCTAAACACCGTTCTGAACAACTAATAAAATGAAGAGCTATCACAGATATTACAGGAGACACACAAGGGGGTAGGAAGAGTGGCAGAAAAATTAAAGGTTATATTAAAATAAGAAAACCCCAAAACATACACAAATGCTCTTAAAATTAAATATTCACTAACCACAGCCATTCCTCCAATGCATCATGCCTTTCAGACTAGAAACTTCAGACATTTCCCTCCCTGTCCATCCTGCACCACATCCCCAATTTCTCTCAAGTTGCTCAGTCGCTATGGTGGGCATAAGCATAGGAACCTGGATTGACAGATGTGGTTCTCCCATATTCCAAAGTGACTTAAGCCCCCGGCTTTTCTGCAAGGATCTAAGTTGGTCACATTTTAACAAGCAGCTACAGGCCTGCTGAAAACCTGACAATCACCCTCTGACCGCCGTATCAGAGGAAAGGTATAGAAAGAGAGAAAAAAAAAGAGGGAAGTGAAATGATTATACTCTAAGATAAGAGATCTCCAAGTGAGCTGGGCGAAAGACAGGAAGATGGATGAGGCACAGAACAAGAGCAAGAGATAGAGATCGCTTCAAAGGGTTCAGATAAACATCTGAGCTAAACGGAACCCTTGCGCTTTCTGAGGTTCAGTTCTTCCTAACATTTTTAGCCTCCATTTCTGCCTTGTATAGAGTCATTCTTTTAACCTAGAATTGAAATTAAGAAGGGAAAGAATCCTCCTTACCCCGACTCACCCTCAGCATGATCGGATCTGTGTTTCGGTATCACTGTTTCTCTGTGATAGCGCTAGTGCGACCAGCAGGAGCAAAGTGAGACACACAAGAACCATCACGAGCACTGCTTATGTCCTTTTCATATGTGTTCATTTTTTTTTAATTGTATCCTTTGGTATATATGGTTGTGACTATTTTCTTCCACTATTTGATCTGAGGAAGTGGGTCTGGCCCACGAAAGCTCATCATCTAATAAATCATCTTGTTAGTCTTTAAAGTGCTACATTGTCCTGCATTTTGCTTCTGCTAAGAAAGTGCTACTGAGCAGGAGCACAAGTGTGATCTTGCTGGGTGGTCATTCTTTGCAGCTCTGGGGAATGAGAAAGGGAAGGATAGAGGCCATGGGAAGCAAATGAGCATTATTAGCAATTAAACTTAATGTAAGAGATAAGATGATCATGCATCAAAGGCGATGTAGATTCTCCTTAAGTCATTTTATTATCTTGGGATTGCAATTTCCTGATAAGCATTAAACATTTAGGATCAACATGCAAAGCTTACAGTCTGCTAGGATGATCTCATTTTCTCTGAGCAGTGTTTTCCTTCATCCCCCTCCTCCCCCAAAAAATCCTCTCATCGCTTCCTGTCTGCCACACCTCTTCTTCAGTTTCTTTCCAGCATCCACAATCACTTCACAAGAGACACTCAAAGGCAGACCTGCTGTCCTGCTGTCTGCTCTCTTACAGCAGCACAGTCTTGCCTGTCAGGGCTTCAGCCTGTCTGCAGTTATTTTTAGTACTCCCCTCCTCTATTCACCTGGGTTTTGCTCACTGTCACAGTGACACATAGAAGTGGAGACTGTACTGATGGCACAGATTCCTCCCATACTTTCCTTACAACAGTAAAAGGATTCACTGGTTTATTCTATGCTATAGTGTATTCCTGTAACTTCAGAAACAAAAGGTGGTAAGAGATGGTTAACCTAGGCGGGATTTGGCTTGTTCTGGTGAGGTGTCTGCCTGTAAGGGTGAGGAGAGGGTGAGCTGGGAGCTAAGAAGAGAGAGGTGTAGATAGCCTAACAGGGTTTCCAATTAAATAGGAGAACTGAAGGCAATACATCTTTATAGCTAAGGCACTTATTTTTTATAGATTTTCTTGAACAAGTAATCACCTTGATCTTAGTCATAGAGGTAGGACTTTTGAAAGCAAGATTTGGTCAAAAAAGAGACTATTTGTCAGACCTATTTTCTTATGAATTTTACAGGCAACTTTTCAAAAGGCACAGAGTAATTCTGCTTCACTTGTTCATACAACCTTTGTGGACCTGGGTAATTACTGTTCAGCTAGATCACGGTTTGGTTTCCATACACAAAAGGAAGTCAAGAAAAAAAAACAAGCATAAATCTTTTTATATAGATATAGATATAGATATAGAGAGAGAGAAAATTATATCACCTGCAGAGCAATCTATGTCTGTAGCTTGAATTCATTGCTTAATAAAAAATGAAATTCAGGGTATGATTTGAAGAGTTCATCTGCTACACCCTGTTATTGTCAGTAGTTTCAATTCTGAAGCTATGTGAAAAACTTCATGTAATTGAACCAGTCCCCTCTTTCACTGTTCAACTCCTACCAGTGTTACAGACTGCCATTTCCTTCTGAATGTAGTAAAACCTAGGAAAGACAGACAAACATGGCTGAAAACGAAGACACGGCATTCCAATACCAAGGGAGTGCAGTAAGGAATTTAAATGGGAGGTTCAGTCTTTGCTGGTTTGCTGAAATATACAATTGTCAAGAAAAACGTAATTAGGGAAGCTCCAAGGAGTTAATGTGGCACTTCCAGAGCGTGTGGTATGGAATGATAGATTGACAATTTACTAATTAATAAGTGACAAATTAATTCTAAAAACAACAAATAGTCTTGCAACATCTTAGAGACTAACAAAACATGTGGATGGTATCATGAGCTTTCATGGAGTACTGCAAGACTATTTGTTGTTGTTTAAGTTTTTCAAGTTACACACTAACTCAGGTGCCCCTCTGAAAAATTAGTTATAATTGATCCTGAACATCTGGATCTCAATCTAGATTCAAAGAATTCAGACACATTTTAAACCTTGACAAGAGAAGCAGAGACAGCCCTAACTTTGTCAATTTCCCACATCACTCATTATCAATCACATTATAAATACCAAAGAAACCTCCTTCAAGGATAGCACTCAGCTGGTCTAAAAACTGCAACAGTTTTAACTGAGCAGAATTTCAAAGGTATTTCCTTTTCACAGTGCCCCTCAATTCCTGAAGAATAAGCAGACAGGCACAGTAATTTTCCAGTAATGAGGAGATTTTTAAAAGTCAGACAGAATCTAAAAATGAACAAATCTATACCCAGAGAAAATGTATTTCATGTTCCTCCCAGCTTCATTATCAGCGACTGCCTGGGATGACTAAGGCTTCCAGCAACCATTGCTTGACAAAGGATGGATAAATGTGCCATTATTCTGGCACAGTTCGGTATATCCTCCAATGCTTGGCATTGAACGTAAACCTCTGAACCCAACAGAAACTGTTTTCATTTTTAAATGTTCATGGTTGTGTCATTAGCTGACCAGTATTTGATTATTTCCTTCTTGCACAAGCCAAAAGGGATAGCATTATAATGAATTAAAGTAACTGCCATGAATCAATGAGGAAGATTAGTGAACTGCTGGCTGCCTATTTTATATAAGTTATTCTATAAATTGCATACAAAACATTCATCAAATAAAATATTACTTTTGTAAAGGAATACTCTTCTGAAGGAGGAAGAATAAAGTGGAATATACAGCTCTTGTTGAATTTTCATTGAGTGGTAAAAATTGTGAACAAATTTTTCTTTTGCATTTGAATAGATTTTGCTGATCATAAATAGCATCCTCCTTCCCCAACTTCATTACTGCGAATACAGAATCAGAAAGACAAGCATAGTGGAGCTCTCCTGCACATAATTATAAAAATAGGTACTGATAACTCCATGTCTAGCCTTGCTGATTTCACAATTTTCAATGACTCATACTGGAAAGGTACAGGGAGTACCTGGCAATTTTTTGTAATTATGTCTAACCCACTATTCTATGCCCAAAATTAATGATTGTCCGTGTAATTTTCACAATAAACTGGCAAAATTATCAGTTCCTGTCCACGGAACTCTGAAAGGAAAAAATAGAAGCTATGAGATATCTAAACAAACAGCCCACTTCATTGACGCCATCTAGCTACTATGGGAAGGTTTGTTGTTCATGCATCAGGGTTATTTTCCCCTTTCCACTGCTAAACACTACTGATGAACCAACTTTGTTGTGTTTTCTTTCATCTGTCAAAGGTAGACATCTAACACAGAATGGATAAGCACTTCGTATATTTTGTTTTCACTTTTTCCACCCATGCTGCTCCACTCAGAGTACTGCAAATGCCTAAAACTAAATTCAGATACGTGTACTTTTCACTTCAGCACAGATTGCCCTTATTTGCCCCTTTGTCTGTCTGCCTTGCCAATCACTCCACCACTGAATCTTTACATATCATTTTAGAGTTGGATCTCATCTCAATTGCCATTTGTTTTCCTTCCACTAGAATGAACAATGTGTTTTTCTCTCCCTCTCCCTCCCTTTTTAAAATTTGGGAGACATGCTGGAGATCTCGTGCAGTCAGAAGTAAATTTAGTGATAGTCTATAATTTTTAGTAACACAAAAGCCACTGCACCCAACACCAGGCAACTATTATGGATCTCACTAGGATTCATAAAGATGAATTCATTACTGGACTTGCAAGCTGGTGGTTGCCTAGGAACCAGTGCTCATGAGTGAGTTTATTTATTCATTTCACTCGGACATTGACCAGAGGGAGTAGGACAGCCAGGGGAACCAGCTGGCCAGGGAGTCCAGCTCTCAGGAAAGGTACCTGATAGCCCTGGGAACCACTGGGATTTTTGTAATAATTGGAACTACAAGTGTGCCCTAATTGTAAACTCCACTGGTGAAAAGTGAGCAAAGTTTCACAATGTGACAACAGTCTCTTACATAAAACTGTTTCAGAAAAGATATGAGGAGACCAACTGAATTTACACAAACTATTATAACTTGTAACAACTCTGTGCCCACCATGCACTATGAACAGAGTTTGATCTCTGAATCATGAACAATGTGGTAAGTAAGGAGAAGGCTGTTTATCCCAGCAAGAATATAAGTTGCTGGTACAGAACCTGTGTCAATGGGATCTCTTCCCCACTTTTCAGTTGCTCCTCTTTCCACCTAACACAGCTACCTTGACGGCCGCCAAGAGTTCCCAATTTCCCAGTATAGCAACTGCTGCTTTGGCAGTGGCATGGCCTCAGAACGTTCATGTTCACATATTTTAGTAGCCTACCAAAATTTTCCTGAGCAATGAATGTGAGAGAAGGCACAAGAGGTTTGAGCTCAGGAAATCCAAAAAAAAACATTATAGGGAGGAGCTCCAGGTATTTTGCTCTACACCAGGGATAGTCCCAATTCCAAAAGCCTGTTGCAAATAATGGAGTTTTCAGAGCTTCCCACCCCATCTTCTTTTGCAATGGAAAGTGCCAATCAGCCCAAATACAGGTGCAGTGTTCCCTGTAAGCTGTGCACTTGTGGGGCCACTCAGGACAGATTCAAATGCCGTTCCGCTGATTAATAGAGCGCCCACAGCTAGGTTTTTTGTTTCTATTGGTGTTGCACATTCACAGATGCCTCAATGCACATAAAAATGTATTCTCTACATGGATGGAGATTAGAGGGAATATTGTATGGGAGGTCACTACTAGCTATCTTACTTTAAAAACCTGAAGGTAGATCAAATTTTGGGCTGGACTTCATTCTGAAATTACAAAAATGCAAAAGACTGAAAATGATCATAAAACACTCATTCGTAATTTATACAGAGTACAAAAATGGAAGCTTTTTTGAAAAAATAAGATACATTATGGTCTTGGCTCTCGTAGGTCAGTGTTCATGTCAGAATTTGTTAGAACGTCTAAAATAATCAG